TGATGTTTTGTTAAAACTCTGAATTGTATATTGTCATGCTTTAAACAGAAACAGGGCAGCTCGCATGCATAGGCCAGACTACATGGGTCTAAGTCAGAATCCCTAACCCACTATTTTTATTTCTGCTTGGCTGCTGGAAATCTCACCATTAGAATCCTACAGGGTTTGCAGTTTGATTCAAGTGCAGTATTGTTTAGAAAGCACTAAGAAGGGAAACGCTCTAGTTACTATCCCCTAAGGCTAACATTGGTTACTTAGAAAAATAAATTATATCTAACTCTTTAGGGAGATTTAACTCATGGCTCAAGAGACATCAGGGCCTCCTATGTGGCCCAAAGCCAAGATTTCTGGGTTTTTGATGCAGGTTGACCAGAAAGATACATGGGACAGTCCTCAAGTCACCTTAACCAGCTTTGGTCCAGTCTAGTGCTGATTCATGTTGTCCTCCTATTTCTCTTCTGAAATCTGTTTTACAATGATTCTTTAGAGTGGACATAATGAATTTCAATTGATCTATATTGTAAGATCCAATATGAGCTTATGGGCTTGTTTTTTACAATGGGGCACACCAGATGTAAACACCAGAGGTCTAAGTATTGGTCTGTGGAAAGACACCTTTTAAGGCTAGAGGAATGGAGGAGATTTTTCTTCCTATCCCAATATAGCAATCATCCTTTGGGAATTTGTTCAAACCTGATTATTCTTTCCTACAGTGTTGAATGACACAAACACTTTAGTAATTCAAGTTAAAATCTGTCTTGGAGGAAATTCAGCTGGGATGCTCCTTAGAAGCGAGAATAGCTAGAATTCATCTCTTGTACTTTGGTCATGTTGTCAGAAGGAAGCAGTCCCTTGGGAAGGATATCATGCTACGTAAAGTAGAAGGTCAGTGGAAAAGGGGAAAAACCTCAACAAGATGGGCTGACACGGTGGCTGTGACCACGGGCTCAAGCATGGCAACGATTCTGAGGATGGCACAGGACTAGGCAGTGTTTCATTCTATCGTACATAAGGGTGGCCATGTGTTCAAACCGACTCAATGGCATCTAACTACAACAACAATGGTAACTCTGTGATCTATTTTGAGATGCTTGGAGGTACAGGAATCTGCTGGGGTGAGGAATGCTTTAAGGGAAACAGAAGCAGCCCTTGGGTCAGCCATAAACAGGGCAGGCATGCTCCTAGGATGAGATGATATAACAGTCTGCTGTTAGGAGAACAGGAGAACAACGCCAAGGAGAAACAGAGAAAGAAGGCTGTTTGAGCACACACAAAGAATTCAAAGTATCCTTGCTGCTGCATGTACCAAATTTCCCTAATATTCAGATTCTATGGGGACAATGAAATGTTAACTAATTAAATCTTAAAAAGTACATTTCCAGACATGGGTGTGTGAAATGGCAAAAATGACAGCACAAACATGGAAATGCTGAATTTCAGAGAAACAGGAAACCTAAAGGAAATCTAGCTTTGAATTTAACTGTACCTTGCCAATAAGCTCCAAATGTGCCAGGTCTGCAACCTAAAGACTGTCAATGTAATCCCTGCTAAGGGTTTCTCTTCCTCTGTCTCAGGGCAAGTATTTTTTCGATGCCAAAGACCTTTGACCATTTATGGTCCCTCTCTTCTGATTGAATAATAACTAATTGATAACATATGCTTTGTTTGGGCCTCTATCTACCACTAAACTATCTTCTTTTGAGTATATTTCTGGTGTTTTTCAATTACGCATTTGTGGCAACCAACCCTGCCCAATAAATGGACAGTACTTTTGGAAATGATCTATTTATGGTCTATTTTCCTCTCTAGATCATAAGAACCAGGAGGGCAGCCTTATCTGTTTTACTCATTCACTGTTATACTCCTCCTTAGTGGCTCTAGAAAGGTTCCTGCTATGAAATAGGCTCCCGATAATTTTTATTGTATGAATGAATGAATATCCCTTAGCTGGCTCTCCACGACCCCCAAGATCAGCAAACACTTGTTATGTTAAGCTGCTACTGGGGAAGCCTGAGAGATGTGGTGATTAGATGGGTCTTAAACACTACAGCTAAGAAAGAAGAGGTAAGGAGTAAGAAAACCTTTAAGTAGCCAGAAGCCTAAGGGACCAAGCTGCTAATAAGATGAAGCCAATTCTTTCTTCTAATCTTCTTGACCAAGGCAAATATCTGTAAAGCCAGATGGTAAATATTTTCAGTTTTGTTGGCCATATGATCTCTGCTGCAATTACTCAACTTTGCCAATCTAGCAACCAAAAAAAGCCATACATGATACGTAAATGAATGTGTGTGGCTGTGTTCCTAAACACTTTTATGTATGAACACTGACATTTGATTCTCCAAAAATTTCCACATGTCAAGAAGTACTATTCTTTGGATTTTACTCCTCACCCATTTGAAATGTGTAAACCATTCCTAGCTCACAGGATTTAGCCTGCAGGCTGTAGAGTTTGATGATCCTGCTCTAAAATGGAACCCTTCAGAATTATCCTGCCCTTTTTCCCCACTAGCATTAATCCCTTTAAATCAAACTTCCAAACAACAACAGTAACAGCAATATGACAGGAAGCTGTCACATAGTAACTTCTGGCCAAATGATTTTCTGTAATTTTTATCAAAAGTTTATCAACTTTGCCTTCAATCTGATATAGGGCCGAAGAATGAAAGGAAATCTACAAATAATCAAGGAATCCTCATGCTGGTTTGTATTACACTCCAGGGCAAACCCACCACAAAACAAGCACTAGAGCTGTTTTGGCTGGGCACCGTTAAGTCGATTTTTGACTACTAGTGACCCCATGTGACAGAGTAGAACTGCTTTGGAGGGTGTTCTGGGCTGTTATCTTTATACAAGTAGACAGCCAGATCTTTCTCCCGAGAAGCTGCTGGCCAGTTGGAACCATTCCTTTAGCAGGTGAGTGCTTAACCACTGCGCCGCCAAGGTTTCTTCAAAGTTGCTAAGAGAAATAAAACAAAACAAAAAACCTACTTGTCTTATTGATGGTCTAACTCTTTCCTACCCCTGCCATCTCTTTGCCAACAGGGAGGAATAATTGATACAATAAAATTCCTACCAGCCCCCCTGCGGAAGGAAGACAGGGCAATCTATTTCCATAAAGATTTACCACCTTGGGTTTAAGGGGTCGCTATGAGTCAGAATTGACTCCATGGCAGTGAGTATGGTGTGGTTTTTTTTTTTTTTTTTTTTTGGAGTACTTAAGAATGGTCCACCACTCAACTTTTAGTTCTGGAATGCCTACCTGGCAAACAAGGATGATTCTCGTAAACAATTTCCTTACCAGGCAGTTACTAACAATTTAACTGTATCAAATAAATAAATAAATGCAAGAACTTGTATCATTTTATAAATATCATCACCCATACATCTATACATCTAAATTCAGACAGTAATAGATATATAGAACTTGCTCTGTTGAATCTAATTCTCCAAGGCTTTAATGCTCTTTAATCTATGTGAAATTTGGAGAAAACTTTTTTGCCCCCCTTTGTCAACAAACATGTTCCATTTAAAGATGTTTCCAAAGACTTATATTAAAATTTTGAGACAGTATGATGTGCCCTTCATCTCTATGAATATCTTAATACTCTAATTAAAGTTCACATCTGGATTTTGAACAGAAAAATATTAACTATCTAAAGAAAATAACTTTGGAGAAAATCTTACTAAAAAAAAAACTAATTTGTCATATAAGATGATAACTAATTAAAAAAAATCCTTTCTATCCTGAAAAGTCACAACAAAAAGTTTAAGTGTGTTTTGGCTGATTTTTCTCTGCAACTATTTGAAGCTGTAAATGACTTAACTCAGTAAAATTCCAAATGTAATTATCTTCTGTACTTAGCCTAGGGCTCTCCATATATCTCGACACTGCTGTCTTGCATACGAAATAGGCTTTTCGATGGCTGGTAATAATATAATGTACAACATTGTTTTAATTTCCCCTAGTCTGCTAACCTCTTGCCTACACTAAACCAGCCAGAGGAAGAAGCCACATGAGTCATCAAGCACTCAAAAGCATTTTGGAACTCAGTTGCATAAATGGGGTTTGCAGGGTCAGGCTTTTGCAATTGTACATTTTAATAATTTCCATTTCTGACCCAATTTTTACTTTCAGAAACTAATTTTCTATTAATTATACCAAGAACAGGATTATTGTTCAAATATGGTGGCTCATCAAGTTACACCAGAAAACAGAAGGCACATTAGAAATGTGCCCCATCCCTCAAAAGGGGAATTCACAGGACGATGTACAAAAGTTTTATTTTCTCTATTCAGAAAGTACATTCAACAGTATGCAGTGGATTTTCAAACACAAGATTATATATATGTATGAAATATACGTTGTACATTATATGTGTATATATGAATATATACACATGTATATATGCATTGTGTGTGTGTATATATAAATAAAATGCAGTCGGGCTCTCAATACTTCTTAAGCATGGAGAGCAAAGGAAATAATGAAAAATGAGGAACAAATCCATGTATCACTTTGACTTTGTAAAATATGCTTTTGTGTATCTGCTCGCTAAGCCTTGTTTACAGTCACTCACCCTGTTCCCATTCATTCGCTTTCAATCTCACTCTCCAGTTCACCCTCCTTGTTCCAGGTTAGTACTAGGAACTTAGAGGACTTAAACCACAACAGATAAACAGAAAGTTAGAAACAGAGGAACAGAGAGACAGGAGGAGGGAGACAGGTGGAAAAAGTAAGTAATAACTGAAAGTAGGCTGCATACATGTATGTGCACAGAACAGAACTCTGAAACATCTAAGTAACAGTTCTAAGGAGTGAACTGAAGCTGAACTTTTCCAAAGAGTTAAAATGAATTAATTAAATAAAGTAAAGGACAAATGGCAACCAGCTTTGGACCGTCTATTCAATAATGGGTATACAGGAACCACTCATACAGAACACTACAGAGGTTTGGGGTTCAGAAATACTGAGGTAATACGGAAAATAAATGTGGTTTTAC